CTTCCATCAGATCTTAAAATGTAAAAGTTTAATAGATACAGATTTGTATGAATAATGCCATTCAATATCGTTAGCTACATTAAATTGAGGGTTAAACATGGGAATGGCAATGATTAATTTATCTGAAGCAACCTTTCTATTAGCGTCAAACAAGCAAACGGATGTCATGTCAACCGGAACTCAAACACCACGGCAGAGAGTATTTTATGCAGCTAATGAATTTCACAAGCTTTGCTGGAAGAGAGATTATTGAATTTGAGAAAAAAGTGGGATAATTCAATGAAGGGTGGTGGCAGAACTGCAATCTTGATACTCTATTGCGATTCGTGCTATGATGACCTACGTAACAATTTTTATATGATAGTTATAATTTTTGCACATTCAAAGTATACATGACATACTAACATTTTAAGTATCCATAACATAACACGCACCCAGATTTGGAAACCATAATTTATCTTGCATCTTATCTTATCTAATTTCTCTTGCATTTATCTTTATCTTATCTTGCAAATATATATATTCATATTTTGTATCACATACCGTCAACCGGGGCTACTTGGGACGGGCGGGGTAACTCGGGACAGTCCTCCAACACTGCGTAAAACTGTTTTAGTAGCAAAACTAATTGGAATATTGCAAAACTAAATATAGTGGCGTAAATGTCAACATTTTTCCTATCTTTGTAGTATAAAGGAAGTTCGAAAATACTACATTTACTAGCTTTGAAAAATTACTGAAAAAAATGGTGAAAACGATATTTTGAAAAGTTAGTTCTGCTAAGGTCTGTAGTAAAAATATATGCCGTATTAAAAAATTTTGCTTAGAAAAAAAGTGGTAGACAAGTGTCAGCATGAAAACTTTATTAGCAGAATTTACATAGTATCAACTACGCGAGTCGAACCAACAATAATAAAATGTAAGACATGTCTGGGTTACTTCTGACTCTTCCGCTTGTCGGATACCAAACGTACGGTAATCGTAAACTGCGGCTATTGAACATGCGCAATGTAAACAGATGGTGTTCAGTGTTGCCATATGACTTTGGAGAAAGTTTCTTCTAAAATAAAGTTCTAGATTCCTCATTCACCAAATTTCCATATCAAGAAAAATCATGTTATTGAAGGATAATTAAAGGCATACTACTGTACTGAGTATTACGTCTGTTCCTCCACAAACTGCTCCTGCATGGCGTAGAATTGATGGCCGGGATTGCGCAAAGAGAAACAATTTTGATTACATTGTGCCAATTGCACGAACCTATGGTTTTGAAAAACTCATTATGCGGGGGAAAATTCCGCAAAAACATGCATCATCCTGAGTGTGGGGGTGGGGGAGTTCTTTCACTTTTAAGATAGGCAAAAATTACCGGCTAGGCACATAAATGGATGTTGGACAACCTGAAGACGCTGATCTTTAGTTCCCCGCTGCAGTCGTGTGGGATGGTGCTCATGCAGTCATTCCCACCATCATTGACTGAATTTCAGTTCCAGTAACGTCTAGTCTTGTATCCATGCCGCCTTGAATGCCTATTTCAAGGCGCTTGGGACTCTGCGCGCTCTGCTGAACATTCACACTTATTGTCACTGCAAAACTATCTCCTCCAAGAGTTTTTAAGCTACAGCAATGAGAGATATACCGTTCGATTTACAATTAAAAGATCTAGAGATTTGTTGTAGCTTTTTTTCAATTTCATTATAGTTTTGAAAATATTTTGAAAAAGGGAGGGAAATTTGAAAGGGTTGGGGGGAAATCACAATTTTCTCAAAAAATGCCCACCACACCCACAATAATTAGAATTTCGAAAAAAAGCAAGGACCAATCGATGGATATGGTCCTTACGCATCAAATGATATGCGTCTCGATGTTCATGTTGTATAGATGTCAGATGGGGTAAGACAGGACCGAAATCACTAACAAGCCTGTAGCATCTATACCATTAATAACTAAAAAACTCTTAACCTATCACAAGGTGTAGTTATGCAATGGGCTTCTAAGCTACTACTCAGATGTTTTACATCTAACATAGTTTTCTGTACAGATTAAAAAAAGTGAGCCGGTCCCATCTTACCCCATTTGGGGTAAGATGGGACCAGGCTGGGGTAAGAAAGGACCAACTGGTAATTCATATGTTACAAGGTTTTTAATAAAAGTACAAATCTGATATTCAATATTATCCATCTAGAAACACATTATTTGATTAAACAACCACTTGTTATAGTTTTATGTTGCGGGAAGTCAACTCTAATATCAGTCACATTGAAGTTTTTGTCACAAGAAAACTTTGTTAAGCAAAGTAATAGTGGATTGACTTTGGTTCATTGTAGAGCACTGCTAAATGCTTCATGTATATTCCATTAGTGTCATTGTCTGAAAAATTTATCAAATTGGTAATAAAAATACAGTGTCAGATGTCAGTAATAAAAAATGTCAGATGTCATTTGTTTTCTTGCTAACTGCATTTGTGGTGTACCTACTTCTTGAAACATAGCTCATGCCCTCTCACAGAGTTGTGATCATAATTATTTTTCATGTTTCACATAGTGATTTTTCCCCCAGCCAATTTTGCACATGGTTCTGCAGCTCACTAATGGGAATAGACATCCCTATTTTCTATATCCCTTTGATGCAATTTAAAATAGTGCACTAAATTTCTCTAATTAAAAAAGCTAACAAGTTATAATAAAGTTTGAGCAAAAGATAAAAATTTTGACCAATACTCCATGTACCGGTACTACACAATAATATATTCATTTAAAAACTATTTTTGATAAAATGTAGAGTAATAGAGGACCATTTGTGGTGTAAGACAGGACCACTTGTGTGATAAAACAGGATCATTTAGTGGTCCCATTGTTGCGGTCCAGTCAACAGGGGTTCACAAAAGCTATGCGAAGGTTAGCTCAATCACCCTTAGATACAATACCTAGCTGAGCCTACCTCCAACCCTGAGAACAAATTTAGGACAATGAAACATAGGTCATTCCCAAACAACACTATACTTAAGTTAAGAACAAAGTCAAGAGCCATTGGTACAGGATAATCCCTAGGGCACCAAATATCCTTCACAGGATAAGCTAGGCAACCACCCTCCAGAGGAAAATCCCTCAGGGGTGACTGCAGTATTCCATCCAAGAGCCGAATTTTACAATATGATCCGACTTTGCGGTAAACAATAACTTTAAACAGAACATCCTAACCTGTGACATAAGGGAGTCAAAATTACAGTAAGATAAGCAATAGCCTAGAAGTCTTGGTTGGCACAGAGACTAATAAAGGTCCTGGAAAGGAGAGCACAATAAGAAATGGCAGTGATTCCTCAACAGTAGACTAGCACAGTAAGAGCACACTCTTTACCTGGTCCATGGATCACCCTGATGTATAGCACTAATGCGGTGTAGTTGCATCACTCTCATAGACACCACAGGCACACCCAAGCACTCCCCCTCACAACAACACCCCAGGTACTCACCGGTCTGGTAGAAAGGTTCCACAGAAGGTTACTGACCACAGGTGAAACCATACTGGGTAGCAGGAACCAGGAACCTCAAGAGAGGCAAGAACTGTCAGGACACTCACTACCGTATGTCTCCAAGTGAGTTAAAGAAACCTAGACATTAGCAATAGGACAAGAAACAAGGGTTACATTGGCTAAATAATAATAATGATTAAGGCTCTTATTCGACTTGGTCACAAGACTAATCTAGCAATAAGGTTTGTTAACTAACTGTAAGAAAGTCTCTGGCTAAACAAGCATATTAAAAGAGAGCCTTGGTTGAATTTAATTTAATGGATTAAGACCAGTGCTGACTTGGGCCATGCTTACTTAGAGTTGGAGTGGTGAGATAAGTCAGTTACCTAGTGCTTCTTGCCTCTGTGGCCGAGTATGGTTATTGCATTATGAGGGTAGGCGTAGATGCCAGGGCTTGTTTAACTGTCAGATTTTTGGTCCATGGCTACATTCCCAATGTGTCTTGCTTGAAATTGTTTCCAGCCATCAAAATCAGTGCCTCAGTTGACCAGAATTGGGTTTTAGGTATGGAAGTATGTTCTTTTTTAATTGGTAAATAATAAATAAGCATGCCTTTTAATTCTTCTTCAAAATTTTCAGGTACCGGTAACTAACTTAAACCACTGAAAATGAGTTTGCTAGAAAATTTCCAACTAAAGTGGTTGCCCAAATAATTTAGATAATTCTATACAAGAAGCTGAATGTCATTAACTGTTCATCGTATTTGAGGCTATGTTAAGTAAGAAGTTCCAGGCAAGGACTGCTGTTCCATATAAGGAGCTTCACTGTTCTGCACCTCCTTCATTTGGTGGCAAAATTCAGTCATTGGACAGCCCTGTTGAAACCAATTTCTTGGTGAGTTTTTTTTTTTTTTTTGCATTTTGATTCAGACTATCCCAATGAGATGTTTGTATCCACTTTTGGGGTACATAGTTTATTTAGTAAGTTTTATTATATAGTTTATTTAGTTTAGTAAGAGCCATGGTCAACTGTTGTATATTTTTTTACATCATTTTGTATTAATTTTATCCATGAGGAACCAAAAAACTATTCTTAAAAACATTTAATGTTATAGCAATTTTGATTACAAAATTTGGGTATCAGTCTTTGATGATTTTTTATTAGTTGGTGAAAATGATTGAAGTAATTTTTCTACATTTTTGTAGACATCAGTATGGATTGATATTATTTTTAATCCTTGAATAATCTTATTTCTGATTAAGTTATTTTTCATCAATTATTCTGTGGTGAATTGGAAATCAGAAATTGGAAAAAATGTTTATCAAAACCAACAATGTATTTTTATTGTGCTGTAAAATTACATGCACTTCTGCTTAGTTGTATATTATGAAAGCTAAACTAACTTGTGATGATGAGTTGAATTGATTGTTAATGACTGTACAAGTAACTCACGGAAGGTTTGGTAAAAAGCTGAACATTATTTAATGCATAATTTTTGTTGAACAGCGGCAACCTTGTGACGTATGCCATGGCCTTCAGGAAGGTTTGTAAAACGTTTGACTGCCTGCAATTATTGTTCATGATTTTAGCTTGAGGTGACCAGTCCTGTTAACCCACCTTGACAAATGTATGCTGCTGACTCCAATGCTTTTCTTATAGTACCAATTAGTTTGCTTGTTACTGGCAAAATATTGATTTTGAAATATTTAATCCAAAGATATAAAAACTTGACTAGTTTCAATTCCCATTGCTCTTCATTACTATAATGCAAGTTATGTCTTGCCAACATTGGTGGTTTGAAATTGCCGCATGCACAATAGTGCCTCTTATGTGCTGCAATTTGTATTTCAACAGTCACTTGTTCCACAGATCTGTTCTGCTGAGCCACGACAGATTCCATGAACCTGGGACAATAGGCTCCTTTTGTGTAATTTTTAATTGCTTCAGGTCCATGCCCATTTTCTTTCTTGCTTGTATTGTGGCTATCCTTTCATACTTTGTAAAAATTGTATGTTTCTAGTAGGTAGATCTTTAGGATGAAACACTAAGAATTATTTTAGGATAAAAACCACTCTGCCATTCCTTCATTAGAGAGCGTCACACGCCTTTCAGTCCTACCCCGTTCTGCCATTTCTTCATTGGAAAGCGCTAAGATTTTATTTTTTATCCATTGAAAGAAATTGTAATGGGCAGAGTAATAAAAATTAACTTCGGAACCATCAGCTCATTAGTGCATTTTTTTCCATTTGTCATGTCTTGCTCTACCACTTCACAACCGGAATGCAACTATTTGCCAGGTACAAAAGTTTTATTCCTATGTTTGTGGATTATTCCTATGTCTATATATTGCTATGTTAAAAGTTTTATTCCTACATTTTTATTCCTATGTCCAACTTCTTGATGACTTGTGTGATTCCACTCATTGCAAAATGACTTGAGCATGGAAGCAAAGTTTTGAATTTTGATGGTGTGCTAAAGCCAATTTAAGATGAATTGGTGACAGCGCTTTTGTTTTGTGCAGGCGATGCTTGGCAGGCTGCGGTCAAGTCGGCCGCTGCTGCTCGTGGCTGTGGTCGTCTGCATTATCCTGTACATGGCGGGACATCGTCTGAGCAGCGTCTCTATTGAGCCTCCCAGTTAGTAGGTTCTTTCTTGTGGCTCTAATAATGCCTTAGTACAGCACAACCCTAAGCCAAAAAACCTCCTGTTACATCTTTATTACCGCCAAAAACTTCCTGTTACATGAGAATTTCGTTTGTTTCGAGCATGATGCACCCTGTATATTTTATGAGCATCTTCATCAAATATGTAAATTTTGCAGGTTTCTTCCCGTGGACCACCACCAGTGACCGCAACGTGTCAGCTTACGTGTCTACAGCAAAGCAAACGTTGCTGTTGACGCCCCGCGAGCGATGCTCAGGAGACGAGTTTCTGGTGGTGGTGGTGCCAAGCAGTCCTGGCAACAGCCAACGGCGCAAAGCCATCAGAAATACTTACGGTCAGTGGATCCGTCAAGTGGATAGTGCGACGACCACCCGGAAACTTATGCAACTCAGTGATGGATGGAATACACTTAACAACGAGGATGAAGAGTCGATCTATGTTGTGAGGAAGGATTACCTCGACCATCCGAGTCCGCTACTGACGAATAGCGAAGTCTCGGCTGCTGGGGGCGTGTCTCAAGGCATGACTCGAGAGCTTTTCTCTCTTGATGGTGAACATGATATGAAGGACAACTTGCCTATATCTGCAAAGTCTGCTTCTGATGAAACGAAGACAGCCACCACAGCTTCAGTGCATCGCACGCGCGGCCGTTTGGGGCCTCGTGTACAGCTTTCTACTTTTGCCGAACTCAATCGTACCCTCAAAGGCAAACTCTTCTTCATTTTGGGTCGGGAAAATTCTGAGTCGGGCGTTAGTGCTTCGTTGATGAACGAGCAAGAAGTGTACGGGGATATCATAGTCGAAGATTTCGTTGATACATACCAAAACTTGACTCTGAAGAGCCTTTTCATGATCAAGTACATAACGAATCATTGTCCCGACGTCAAATACGTTGCTAAAGTGGATGATGACGTCTTTCTACACGTGCCAAATTTACAAAGAACTTTAACTACTAAAGACACTTCAGAAAAGCTCATCCTGGGATGTCTTTTCTGCTACGTTCGGCCTATCCTGAACCCCACAAGCAAATGGTTCTCACCTCGGTACATGTATCAAGGTGATCATTATCCTAATTACGTATCAGGCACCTCCTACGTTTTGTCAGGCAACGTGTTGACTCCGCTTCTTGCAGCCGCGATGCACACGCCGCTCTTCCACCTCGAGGACGTATTTATCACGGGCATTTTAGCCAGAATGATCGGGGTCAAGCCTCGGGACAGTATGGATTTCTCTTACCAAACTCGACCGACAAATCCTTGTCTCTACCAGACCGCTTCTATGGGGCATGAAATGGAGCCTCTGCAGATGTACAAGTTGTGGAATATGTTACATTTACGCGGCATGACCAGCTCGTG